CCTGAGCTCTGTAGGAGTTGAGAAATCAAGGGGAAAAGCGGGCTGGAGAGAGAGCGCGTGCACACACACACGCAAACAAGAGGATATTAACCCCATATACTTTCACCAATCCCAAATAATACTTATAACTTGTTAGGGAGGCTCCACTACTGTGCTGCTGGAAATTAGGTTCAGAGTTTGTGTCACTGTTGTAATGGGTTATTGATCACTTCTCCAAAAACTTCATAGATCATAGGATTTAGAATCCATTTAATGAATGCTAGCCTTGATAAATCTAGATCGTACAAGCCTGGTTAGATTTCCCCAGTTTTAAGCTTGCATTTTTTTCCCCAGGCACAGTTTTATATTCAGCTTTCCATGAAGAGACATCTCATTTAGCTGTTTGATTCATAAATTATTTTTCCACCTGTCCTAGGATTCTTGGAACAGTTCTTTTTAAAGAAAAGTAACGTGCATTCCTCAGTACGCTAAAATAGAGTATGCCGTGCTGCCAGCTGCTAGTTGTCTGCAGGATCCTGGGAGGTTTAATTCCACTTGTGTGCTAGTCTACTTTCCATATATGTGTATGTTCCTTTATAGTCCTCCCTCATAAGCAGCATCAGTCCCAAAGGAAATGGAGTAAACACAGCTGGTTCTGATTGTTCTCTCACTTATATTAATTTTAGACCAGAGTAACTCGACTGATTTCACTGGTGTTAACTCTGACTTTACACCAGTGTGAGATCAGAATACAGTAGCCTGGGAATTGAGTAACGCAGTACTAGACACTTAGCAGCATCCTGCAGGACCGCACCTGGCTGGACATGGAGACTGAACTACCTCACACTGGTTGAAATGCCCCCTCAGACCAGAATTGAGGTCTCTCTCTCTGTCCCTCTACCTGTGCTGTCTAGAGCATTCATCTCTCTAATATTTCAGCGTGGCAAGGTATCATGGGGAAGCTAGCACTGCTATGGCTGTTCTGGGGATAGGTCAGTCGCCAGGGCTGTCAACCTGGCATGTTTCCAATGCACTAAATCAGTTTCAAACATTAAAATTAACACTAGATTAAAGTGGGAAGAGGAAAAAAATCTAAAAGCAAGGAAATCAAACTCAGGATCTCTTTATTCACCCCCTTGTGACCTGCGCTCAGAGGACACATGCAACTTTTTAACTTGTCTCTCTCTCTCCTGTTGTTTGTTGTTGTTCTTAGCCTTAATGTGTCCAGTGGGTGTGAGACAGCATGCGAGAGCTACGAATCTGCTCAGGAAGCTATGTGATGAGCAATTCAAAGCAATACAAGGCAGATAATCTCCTCAGAGAGGGCCAGATGATAATGACAACACTCTTCTTCTGCTTCACCTTACTCTGTGATAAGGAAGGTGCTATTCAGTGAGAGTAAGGGGAGCGGGGGGTCAGAATCTAACAGGCATGCAGCTCTGACAATTTACCTGGATATCCCATCATTTGTACCATCCTCGACCTCAGCCCCTCCTGCCATGTTATTATAGGTTACACCACCAGGGAGTTAAAAAAAACCCTCTGCCATGTACTCTGAGCACAATCCCACCATTGTAATGAAGCCCAGCCCTACTACTAGAATTTAACCACATGAAAAACTAAAGTTATGTACCTTACCTTGGTGTAATTAATGGCACTGGTACTACTCAGAGACTAGACAGCAGGGAGAGGGCCTGATTCTGCTCTCATTTACATGCTTAAAATCAGGAATAATTCCAATGAAGTTAATGGAATCTCACTACATAAACCCAGTGTACATGGGAACATAATCATGTCCAGAGAGAGGAATTCTATTCAGTTACTTTAATGGATAGTATCCATATATGATGGGTTTTAATCCTCTGCTGGAGAAACAAAATCATGCCCTTTTGCTTTATAACAATTCATAACTTCCCCCCTCACCCGTTTCTTGGGATCAGCACTATACCCCAATCACACTGTGCATGTTTTCATGACATTCCCCCCCCCCCCGCCCTTCTGCATCATTTTTTAAAAATACACAGCACAAGTCTGAAGTCATTATCACCATTACCCATAGATATCCTGAATACATATACTGTATTGACAGGAGCTAGGCAGTGCTGTGAAGTTCAGTGTAATAACCTACCTCCTCTTACTTACACTCACAACGTCTGCTTAACAGAACGTGGCTTTAGGCCCAGCAAAGGCAGTAGAGTCCCTGGTCTCAGCTGGGTCAATGAGAAGCATGACAGACGGTGATGCAAGTTCTGCTAGGAAGGCTCAGGGATCTTACTCGGCCCGGACGGACTTCTTTGCATTGGGACTTTTCTGGGTTTTTTTTCTACAAGCCAGGGGATGAAGAAGCACAGCGCTAACAGGTTGCCTCGCTACCGCACAACATTGACCAGGGTGGAGAGAAATGGCAGCAGCATTCGAAATCTCTCCAGCAGCTCTGCAGTGCTAAGAGGGATCAGTCCAGGTGAAGCCTCAGCACCTGAGTTTAAGTCACAAGTAAAATACACACACACACACACACCCCGGATCTCAACCTGGAAACTAGTCCACTTGAAAAAGACATCATATAACTGCTTCACTCAGAAGGAAGTTTATCACTTTGCAGCTCAGAATGCCCCAGCCGTGTTTACAGAGCATTGGCCCAGAGCCTGTAGGGCTCCGATCTAATTTTATTGACTTTTCACCTTCATGAACATAAAGCTTTGCATTTGTTTTCATTTGCATTTAACTGCCAGTTAATTAGTCTTCAGCTCTTTCAAGGAATAGCTCACTAGTTCTGCCACTGCTTAAGCAGAACTACTCTCATCTATTAGGACTTGATCTAAGTAAAAAACTGCATACTTTGTATGGCATCAGAATAAATTGTGAAATCACCACCCCTTTTGGACCCCTTAGTTGATTTATGGAAACAAATGATGATATGATTTCTGCAGCTGACCTATGCATGTCATATGCTAAGAGAAAGGGTGCCTGTTACTTAGTCACTGAATAGAGGAAACTGAGCAGGTCGCAGAGGTGATGCATTCAGCGACTGTGGTGGATAATGGACTCTGTCACCCCAGGCAAGGGCATTTGCTTCCAGACAACCAGGAACTAGAATGGAGAAGCAATTCACTTACCTTTCAGGGCTGAAAGAAGATGCTGCCTAGCAGCAGAGAGGAAGAGGAAATCAATGAAATGGAGGAGTGAGAAGAGGAATTAAAGGAATCAAAACCAATTCTCTAGTCACTTGTTGACAGAAATCAATGTCTAACATGGTGTTTGTCTGGTTTTAAATTTATTTTATTTTCCTTTAGCTGAAGGTTGGTCATTCCCAGAAACGACATTTCAGACCGCTGCTTTTTTCAGACTGTATCCAAATATTTATACCCTCCTGCAAACTGTCCAGGAGAGTACACTAACAATAAAGGGAAAGAATAAAAGTTGTTTAAGTGTTATCAGAGTACATTCAAAGTTGAGCTGTGTGTGCATTGGGGTGGGATGGGGAACTACAAATTACACAAAACCAGCAAATTTGACTTTCTTGCCAACTTAATCGATGTTTAAAATGGAGGTATGAACATAGCATTAGCATTCAAAGAGCTTAAACAAATATAATTAATAAGCACACACATTTTTTGAACAAAGCCCAGTTCCTCTGTGTTGGAAACTGGCAGGTCATCCAATCTTAAACCAGTTGTTTTTCCATAATCATCTCTGGGTAGCTCCCTAAATTTGTAAGGTAGCTGTCTGGGATTAAACTGCTATTCAAAACCACCAAGTGCTGTCCAGTTAACTCTTTGTAGGTATTTGGGAACTCAGCTAGGAAAAAAATGTTGATCCACCAGCAATCTGGACATAGGGAGGAAATTTAAGTTGTTGGAAATCTTAAGAATGAAGGAAAATGAGTTTAAAAAAAGAAATATTTTAAAAGGGTAAGGAATTAAAACACCATTCAAAAGCCCACACGTTCCTTGGTAAGAGAAGAACAAGACGCTTACATAGCTGCCCCAGCAGTAGAGTGCTTCTCTCTTATCATATGCTAGCATCTCTTTCTTTCGATCTCTGCAAAGAACTTATGCCATCTAGCAAAGATGAGATCATTCTGGAAGGTGAATGCAGTAGCTGGGGACATTATTAAGCATGTGGTATTCAAAATGTGATTTGGATTTTTTTTGTTATAGCATCCAACAAAGAAGCTAATGGCCAAATTCAGTGTCCTGCTTCTGATGACTTCATAGTGCTCTTACATACGTCATGTTTTATTCTTAAACATGGAAATAAAGGGGATTGGCTAATTAATATTGGCTTCATGGGGAAAGGATACAGGCTCCATAAGACCTAGGTGAGCAAGTGTTTGATGCAGAATGACCCTCTGCCAAAACCCTTCTGAAGCAGCACAAAGTCATTAATAGACTCCTGTTGCTCAAAAGGTTCATTCATGCATGTAAAGGACAGAATTCTGGTTTCAGCTGGTATAAAGCAGACTGCTTTGCATTTCCAGCTCTCACAAAGTAAAATATGCACTAACATGAATGGGTGAGAACTACAGACTTTGTCTGCAAGACCAGCATTTTTCATCCTTTACAGGCCAGATTTTCAGTTGATGGCTTTCACTTATGAATGTGAAATTGCACACACTTGTGCCTGCACTTTGCACATGCCAGCACCTGTCCATGCACTAATGCTTTTACATGATCTATAAATAGTCTAGTGCTTGCATGCACATTTTAACATACGCATCAGAAAAACAGTGATAAAATGTGTTTAGGAATGCAAATCCTAATATGTGTATGTGCAATGATTCTGTGACAGATTTCTGTTACCAATCTGCCTGAGGCGTCAGGTGATCAGACTGAGGCTGCAGGATTGTTAGGGGAGGAGATTAGGGAGCACACCAAGGGTCTAAGTTTTAAAGCTTTATTAATAAAATAACAGCGGTGAGTGCGGGGGCTCCCCACATCACTCAAAGGAAGGAAGAAAGCATTAGTGCCTGTGCCCTAACCCACTTTCATACTCACACACGCACTACCCAAGGCTGGCCAAGCCTGGGTGTAACGTAAGAAGAAGGGGGGGAAGGGTGGGCGAGAGTTCTGTCCTGTGCACAGGCCGTCCAGGGTCCACTGTTGATCTCCAATTTGCTTCAGCTCTCAAGAGGGTTTTAAGTCCTGGGGTCTTTTGGGGCATTTGGTTCAGGGACCTTTGTCCCCCATGCTCTTTGTACCAGTCCAAACTGGCTCTCCATGGCCTCCTCAGCATTCCCAAAACACACTGGCTTCAGGGACATGAGATGGTTGTTTTTCCCCTAGCTGGCCTTTACCGTCTCCCTATTTTTTTCAATCCCCTGCAGTCTGGTTCAGCTTACTTCTCTTTTCTCACAGTTGGCTGGGGTTGGGTAAGATCCAGGTACAGCTGCAGGCTTCTTGGCTGGATAGAGTCTGTTCGAGTGCAGCGACCTTGGACTGGAGCCGGCGTCTTATCTTCGGACTGAGCTGAGTCGTCACATTAACCTGTTCTCTTCTCCCTTCCTCCCCCTTCGGCCTCTTGCAACCTGCAAAGGAATCTTCCATTCCACACTCACACCTTTAACCCTTCCCAAAATGCCTTGCGATGCTTGCAACAGCCTTAGCAACATACAATGCTGATCTGCCTTTCCAGGGGACCCCCTGAGGGAGGAGGCCACTGGGTTGTGACAATTCCCCCACCCATATCCTGGATCAGCAGCAGAACTTGGACAGTCAGTGCTAAAGCACAGGCCTCCGTTTTAGCTGCACACTGTATGGTTGTTCCAGGGCCAGGCACTAGAGGGAGACATGATTACATGCACTTGACATAGTTACACATGCACTTAGATGTCAGGCTGTTTATAAGGAACTCATGAGTATTTGCACCGCAAAGTGTAGGTGCACATGTGTTTGTGCATGTAATTTTCATCATACATATGTGGATATCAGAGAGTAGCTAGGGTGAAATTTAACGCAATGCCTCTAATGTTACTATAAAATTCAAGGACATTCAATTTAAGACAACATCCATAAAAGGGCTCAAGAACACATGCCAGACAAAAATACCACAAGAAAATTCTCTCATGTTGCATTCTGTCTGTATGTCTTAGACATTTGTAAGACATCAGGCTGGTATCTATGCACACAATCTAAGTGCTATTTAGAAGGCATGTCCAGTGGAATTTGAAAGTACAGAGGCATGAAGAAATAAATAATGAAAACAAAATTATTCAGACTCTACGGAACCTCCAAAAAATGTTCAGTTTGGGTTTGTTCGAAGCTTTAGCTATAGCTGGTTTCATCCTCTGGTGTAGCTCTTGCTTTTCTGAGTTCTTCACCATTAAATCTTCAAGGATTCTCAGTCTGCAGACATGGGCAACATAGCATCACAAAGAAAACAATCTGGTTGCTCTCTCAGAGACTTTATTTTTGTTTTATTGTCCTCTCTCTAAAATAAGATCCTTCTTGGCTTAAGTAGGTGCCTAACTTTAAAACACATCACCGGTTCCATTGAAGGCAATGGTACTACTAACGAGTTTAAAGTTAGACACATACTTACATACCTTGCTGATTCTGGGCCTTACCCATGTTACATTTGCTACATTTTGAATGCTAATATTTGATTTCAAAATCACAGTACAGTATTTGGTAAAACTTTCACAAGGCTAAAAAAAATTACTAACTTTCTGTCTTCCTCTGAAAATGTTTATCTTTATAGTAGTTCATACGATGTATAGGAAGAGTGATTTAAAACACTAGTTTACGTTTGTTAGTTCAAGGTTGTTTCAACTATTATAGTGATTTCAAAGATGAAAGGCAGCTTAAAAATATTCTTGAAAACGGAGATACTAGTTGCCCACAGGAATTCACCCCCCCCCCCCCGAAGCAGACTGCATGGAGGAGTCGTCACATATCTAGTTCAGTAACAGATATAGTTCAGTTATTAAAATATTAAATCAGAGAAGATAGATTCAATGCAAAAAAAATTAGTTCAATGCATCAAATTGCTGCTTACGTAAATTGTGTTGGGAATATATTCTGGTAAAAATGGGGATGTTATTTAAAGATGTGACCAAGTCAGATGATAAATGACACCCCATTTCAATTCTTCTCAAGTCTGCTAGTATAAACTCAATAAAACATAAAATATCAATCTTTATGGTGCATTTTCTTTTTTTAAACTTATGCTTTTAAGCTAGATGCCTGCAATAAGCAACCATGTTTACTGTATATGAAGGATTTTACTATCATAGCTGTTTCTTCTGTGGCTATCTTACTAAACAAAGAAACACATAGAAGAAGGCAGGAAATTATTGTAAATCTTTTACCATCTACAGCTGAGTGAATAATTCAAACAAACATAGCTTCTTTTTCGGTTCACACAATGTTCTAGGAAATTGCAATCGCCTTATGATTTTTTTTTTTAAGTTACTTGACTTAATTCAGTCAATAGCTTTTTTTTCTAAATACAAGCTGTATTGTGAATATTCAGAATTAAAGCTGTATTTTTTAGTTTTGTTTTGCCAGATAAATCACCTGGTAGTTCATCTGTTCCTTGACTGGAGGGGCACACCAGCTCTTCTAGGTAAATCTACTTGTGTGTGCTAATTTGTAACTAGCTGTCCACAAATATTTCAGCCAAAAGAACTCACCTGCCTGCTCATGGGGAAGCAAGCTTGAATGGGTATATAAGACTGTGCAAAGCAAAGCCATTTAAAAAATTCAACCAAATGTTTGTGAATTATTTTTTTAAATTCACCTATTATCAACATTGATTTGACATTGTGATGGTTGAGGGCAGGAATCATAAGAACGGAAATACATTGCTTTAGAAAGGGGTCAAAAGGCTACAGCTTTGCCCAATCAAAGTTAGACAAGATAAGAATATAGAAGAATAGATCCTAGTATTGATAGAAGGAAAGAGGCCTCAGGAGCCTTTTATTGTCATTTAAGTGCTCATATGACGCCGATTGTCCTAAACAAGAAAGGTCCTGTTTTCTGTGCCTCAACTCTTGTGCATGACAGGGCAGGCAAGGTCACAGATCTCATTCAAGCCTACGCATGCAATGTGTCACCAGACAAGGGACTAGTGTAGTTCATATGCACTCTTCTCCAACTCTGCATAAGTGGCCATTTGTTATCCACCAGCTAAAATGGAAAACTATTTATTTATTGAGCACTACATCGGTGTGTCTGTGTACAAATAATTCTTGCCATGAAGATCTCATAATCAGGCAGATTCAGAGGAAGGCATTTCAGAGACACAAGACCCTCAGAGACTTCAAGCACTTTTGGCCCCCCATGTGATCTGCGTGGCTCAGTGAGATTCCCAAAATCCTTCTGTTGATCCTGTATTCTAAGGAATGAAGTTTCTTAGGGTTACCATTCGTCCGGATTCCCCCGGACATGTCCGGTTTTTTGAGCGAAAAATAGCGTCCGGGGGGAATTTGTAAATGTCCGGACTTCCCCCCCCCCCCCATGCAGAGCGCGCACGGCTAACAGGGCCGCCGGCCGGATGGTGCCACTTACATGGGGCTCCTACCATCAGAGAGAGCTCCTCCTCCGCTTCCCCTGCAGCAGAGATCACTCCCTCCCTCCCTCCCTGCATTCGCAGATCGCCTCCGGCAGTCTGGAGCTCCTTCCCCGCTCCTCCTCCCCTGCTGCCTGGCGTGCCGGGACGAATGGCTCAGGCCATTCCTGAGCAAGTTCACAGAGAGGCCAACAACAAGGGGGCCAGGGGGTCGGAGAAGGGGCAGGGAGGTTTTGGATGGGGCAGTCAAGAGACGGGCGGGGTCGGGAGTTCGGGGGGGACTTTCTGGGGGGAGTGTGGATAAGATTTTGGGCAGTCAGGGTACAGGTAGGGAGTAGGGTCCTGGGGGGCAGTTGGGG